AATTAAAACTATACCTCTATCTCTCACCATGCACTAAACTAAAATTGAAATGGATTAAAGATCTAAATACTAATATAGAAATGCTTAATCGGCTGGAACAGAGGTTAGGTAGAACTCTGAAGACATTGGTGTAGGAAAATATTTTATGAACAAAATCTCAGTTGCCTGTGAACTAGCACAAACAATGAACAAGTGGGATTTCTTCTTATTAAAAAGCTTTTGCTCAGCAAGAAACCACCATCAGTGTGAAGAGACAATCCACAGTGTGTGAAAAAATTTTCACCTGCTATTCCTCAGACAAAGGTCTACTATCTAGAATCTATAAAGAACTTTAAAAAACGGACCTCCTATATTTAAAGATGCAATCCAAAAATGGGCATCTGAAATGAACAGACATTTCTCAGACAAAGAAGTAGAAGTAGCAAATAAAAATATGAAAAAATGAGAAATTAGAGACATGTACAGCTAAATGGATGCACACTGAGGCAGTACTCTTAAGTGAAATAAATAAGACACCCATTTGTAAACACCGAATAGTCTCTCTCTAGTGTGAGAAACTGAAAGTGTAAATAAGGTGTAAAAGGTATAATAGATAATGTGAAATAGGAAGAAAAGGGACAAAGGGGAAGTGGGAGGGGTAGGGGAAAGGACAGAAGGGAATGGAATTAATATAAGTGAAAAAATGGAAACAAAGTCTTTGTAAGGAGGGAGGGATGGAGGGGTTGAAAGGAGGGCAGGGCAAGGGGGAAATATAAGAACCAAGAAAGATTATGTAAAGGTGCAAATATCCAATGATGAATGTCATTATACTGTATACCTAAAATGTACCAATAAATTAAAATAAAAAAAATGTACTGGGTCTCCGTATCATTAAACTTTGATTTTCTAAACAAAATGAAGTAACGGAGCTAATAAAATGAAATTTGTTTTTCAAAATAGATATTAGGAAAAACATATTAGGAAAAAAAATCAATGAGAAATAAAACTTCTAAGAAGAACAGGAGCCAGCATAGTGTTTAGGGGAGAGGAACCAGTGACTAGCAGGCAATTCTCTGACAGGCATGTACAACTACGAGAAATACTCAATGTAGTGTACACCGATTTTAGATCCTAATCTCCACCTCTAAATAAATGGTTAAGATAGGCTTTCTGCAGCATTCAAGTTAGGGTCCCAAGAAGAAACAGTGATATGCTTGCTTCCAAATATACCCATCCACAGACCACAGGGATTTTATTATCTGGCCTTGGGATGGGTGGAAGAATAGAGAGAATAGGCCATGGGTTTAATAGAAAAGAGGATCTTTAAAATGTTAGAGTGCTAGTTTATTTGGCAAAAGGTAAAAATCACCCTTAGGCTGGGGATGTAGCTCAGTGGTGGTAGAGTGCTTGTCTAGCATGTGCAAGATCATGAGTTCAATCCCCAGCACTACAAAAAGATAAAAAACGAAACTATCCTTGAAATTCCTAAAGAAAAATAACTTTAGAGGCTGAACAACTGTCACTCAGTATGTAACACAATCTGTTTTCCTCCAGCAGGGAAGCAAATCTCTGTAGCTAATAGAGGTGTTAGCCTACCTTTAGAGAATATATATGAATGATAATTCTTAGTACATAATGAATCACATAACAAAGATATGTGGGATTGGGGCACAACTAAAGGGCAGGAATTATTCAAGTTTCCAATCTAAATCGTGTTTCCTAAGCCCACCTTTGCTGAGAATAGTAAATGAAATGACTTACCCTATTTAAAGGTTCCATCTTCTTATTCCCTAGTTTTTGCACAACATATATAATTTGTACAAGTCATGAAATAACTCTATAGTACTTCAAATATCTAAGTATTATTCATAAGATAAACATAGTATTAAATATTTTTACTAATAATGGCTCACTAGCATTGCTTTTACAGTGAGAACATTCATAAGACAAAAAAACAATGCGTTCACAAACCTTTTTCCTTTATCCAAATTAGCATCAGTTTCTGTTTCATCATCATCACCATTAGGTTTATCTTGAGAAGTTATTATTCTTGTTTTCTCACTTTCCACTACTTTTGCTGCTGCCTTTAAAAAGGGGTGTGTGCAGATCGGAGGGAAAGAAAAGAATGTGTTAAGCCAGCTTAAATGAAGGTCATTAAATTAAGTCTTTTGTTAATTGTATAGTCATAGCTGAAGTATCTGTTCACCAGCCAATAAAGGGTACCATGCTGTTATTTTTTTACCAGTAATTTTAACAATGCTGGCAACTACTTTTCACACCTGCTTGGTTTATAAGAACTATAGAGATCTTTCCTCGTAAAAACACTTGATAGACACAGTGCTCTATGGGCAATTTTAAGATAAAAAGGTACTTAAAAAATTAAAACTCCAGATATTCCAAAATAAACCACCTCTAAGTATGATGTTCCACGTAATAACACATTAGCTTTTTGAGGCTGACAGAAAAAAATGTTATTTAAAAAAATGTTAACTCAGGCATGGTGACACATGTTTATAATGCAGCCCTCTGAGAGGTTGAGGCATGAGGAGTACAAGTTCCACCCTACCCTGGGAAACTTAAGTGACTTAAGAACTTGAACAAAATAAAAAATTAAAAAAAGGTTGGGGGAAATAGCTTAGTGTGAAGCCCCTAAAAATCAATCCCAGGTACTGCCAATAAAGAGGGTTGGGAGCTGGGGACATAGCTCAGTGATGGAGTACTTGGCTATCATGTATAAGGCCCAGGGCTCAATCCCTAGCACTGGAAAAAATAAAAATTAAGGAAAAAAAAAAAAATCCTTCTCGAACTTAAACTTTATTTTTTCCTAAAAATGTTTAAAATTTTATTCAAAATTCACTTATAACTAAAAATCAATTTTCAATTATTTCTTAATTCATTCCAAGTTCTCTTCTCAGGACTAGAACACCTGCCTACCATGTGAGAAGCTCAAGGGTTTATCTCTAGCACTGCCAAAAAAAAAAAAAAATTATGTGTGTGTGTGTGTGTGTGTGTGTGTATATCTCACTTATAGACCCTTGAGGTTCACTAATTGTAGTATTTTACATTCTTCTACAAAACCACCATATAAAATCCTGATTAGTTATGAATATTTCTATTTCAAATGTTCTCCTTTATTAATGTCCATGTTCGACTCCTTGAAATAATATACCTTCATTAGAAAAGTTGATGATTTTTCTCCTAGCACACAATTCACATAACTTCTAACTTTCTGCATCATGTGGTTGTAGCTGAAGTGTTGAAAAAAGGAGTGATACGGATCTTTCTGAGAGATTATCATAAGTAATTTCCTTTCCAAGGTCTAGAGAAAATAGGAGAAACATATTAGTAAAAATTACACAAACAATTCAAATACAAAAAAATTTGTCATATTATTTAACTAAAAACAATCACTTTATTAATAAGCTCAGATACTATTAAGACTTTAAAAATCCTGTTATTAAATGACCTGCCAATACATTTTTTTCTTTTTATGCCCCCACCCCTGGTACCTCTAGTTTTTGAATGTTTGATATTTCAGGACACATACAAGAGGATAAAAAGAGTATTATGGAGCTGGGTACAACATAGCTCAGTGGTATAGCACTTATCTAGCATGCACAAGGGTTCAAGTAATCCCAGCAATAGCACAAAGAAATAAAAACAACCAAAAATCAGGGCCGGGGATTTAGCTCAGTGGTTCTGCTGCCTGCTTCGCAAGCACAAGGTCCCGAGTTTGATTCCCCAGGACCAAAGAACCAAACCAAAACAACAAAAACCCCCGAAAAACAAAAAAAGAATCTGTCCATTACTCAGTTTAAATATAACACATTATCAATATTGTTTACTACCATAATCTGATTGTATCCCATTCCCTCCCTCACCTGTAACAATTACTCTGAATTTAGAATTTATTATCCTCATAAATTCCTTTATATTTGTACTCCATATGCATGTATCCATGAATATGTAGCACTGTTTTGCATGGTTCTAACTTTAAAGATTTTTCTGTCTCTTCTCATGCGCAGTACAAGTTTTTCTTGGTTCATTCAATATTGGATATACAATAAAAAATATATATGTATTTTTCCCGGTGATGTAGGGATTGAACCGAGGACCATCACACTGAGCTACATCCCCAGCCTTTTTTCTTTTGAGACAGGGTCTCATTAAGTCAGTAAGTTGCCCAGGCTGGACTCAAACTTGTGATCCTCCTGTTTAGCTTCCCAGAGTGCTGGATTATAGGTATGTGCCACCGTGCCTGGCAAATACTATAGAACTTATAAGGAAAGTTGTGCAGCCTGGGCTTGACCAGACCAACTGTCTCAATGAGGCCTGGATTTTTGTTTTTGTGTTTAAGGCTTTATGGCTTTAAAAATGTGTGGTAAAAGTGAAGACAGGTATTTCAGGAACTTTAGAAGCAGAATTGGCTAGAATGCATGCTTACAGATTTTGCTAAAATGGTCTTTGAAGTTTAGGTATAAATTTACACTCTAGGAATGAACTTACTGCACACAGTATAAACATTTCTCCATTTTTTGAACCGTTGGTGTTCTGACACTAACTGTTGCCAGTCCTAGGGATGGGAAATTGTATTTCAATATTTAACAGTACTTGGTTTTGCCCTGATGGATATTAGTGAAGTCAAGTACTTTCTCTTAATCTCTCAATGTTTACTGGACATAAGTTTCCCTCCTTATATATTCATTTATTTCCTTATTTATTTTTACATTCCTGAGGACTCAACCCAAAGCCTTGTGCACAATGGCAAGCATTCTACATCCACAACTCTTTTTGAGACAGGGTCTCCTGTTTTCCAGGCTGGCCTCAAACTTACAATCCTCTTGTCTAAGCCTCTGTAGTAGCTGGGATTACAGGTGTTCACTACCATGCTGGGTTTTTTTTTCTTCCTTTATAAAATACAAGACTGGAGTTTTCAGTAGTCCATAACATTAAAGAGAAGATATAGAGGCAAGGAACCCAAAAAACATATCACCTGAAATCACTACAGGATGAGATCCTAGCAGCAGGGTCACATTAGTGATAGACAAACCTTACCCAAATTGCAACTTACCCTCAACTTTTATCATACTAGCACATCAACAAGTGCTCTACCTTATTAGCCATCAGAGAAATAGAAATTAAAAGCCAATGTGACAGTAGTATATATTTGCCAGAATGACTGAGATAAAAACCACAGATAAGGTCTATGGAGTAACTGAAACACTCCTATACTACTGGAGGAATTGCCATGACCACCTGGGAAAACTGGCAGTTATCAACTAAAACTGAGTATGTGTAGATGATTTAAGAGATGAAGGTCACACTATACTTGAAGTCATTTCCTGCGTACCATACTACCTTGACGCATATTCTTATACCCACATTCTTTACAAAGTGAATGGGGAATAACTGCCATATTTGTGCTTCTTAAAGACTGAGTAAATGAGGCCAGGTGTAGCAGAGCATGTGCGTAATCCTAGCTACTCTGGAAGCTGAATCAGGAGGATTTCAAGTTCAAGGCTAGCCTAGGACAAATAAATAAATGAACAGGTGAATATGTGACTCATGAATTCTAAATTCTAGTCTTAATTATACTGAATAGAAATATATACATTTGTCCTACAAGACATATGTAAATTTGATATAGCTAAGCTGGGTGTGGTGGTGCATGCCTGTACTCAGAGCACCCTGGGAGGCTGAGGCAGGAAGATCCCAAGTTCAAGTCCAGCCTTGGCAATTCAGTGACTTAGCAGAACTCCGTCAAAGTAAAAAAATGAAAAAAAAGGGCAGGAGATGTAGTAGTGTGAAAGCCCTAGGTTCACTCCCCAGTACTTCGAAAAAAAATATAGATGGACAATAAATAACTGTTCATTGTACTAATACTCAATGATTTAACTGAATATTTTCCAATACCCAGTAATACAAAACAAAACAAATACAGCCTCAAACTGGAAATAAATATAAACCTGCTATATGATTCCATTCTAAAAAGCTCACAAACAAGTAAAACTAATCTTCAGTGGCATCAGGGTAGAGGTTCCCTTGAGAAGGTATTATTTCTCAAGTGACTGCAGGGTACTGGTGAGGTTGTTTCTGATCCAGAGGTTCCTCACACAAAGGTGTTCCTTTTGTTAAAACACATCTACTTACACTATGACACATATATTCTTCAAAGATATGCCATATTCAATAAAAATTTTTCTAAAAATATAAATTAAAAACCATCTTTTCTTTCTTTGAATATGCATAACTCTCTCCAATAACACCAGTATTTTAAAAATTAAGGCTTACTGACCTTAACATTTTGTGCATGCACATGCACACACACACACACACACACACGCACACAAAATCACATAAGAAACTCCAGAAAAACAAGCAAGTTACAATGCCTTCTTTTATACCTGTACTGCCTATTATAGTAGCCATTAGCCACACATGGCTGCCAAAACCTTGTACTAGTTAATGTGAATTTAGATATACTAAACATATAAAATCACACCAGATTTTGAAGATTTGAAACAAAAAAAGAAATGTAAAACACCTGAGTGATTTTTATATATTAGGTTAGATAAAGCAATATTAAATTAAATAAAATAATACTTTTCTCCTTCAATTTTCTTTCAGTTTTCCTCATTCCATATAAACAGTTCTAAAGTTCTATGGTTTTAATTTAAGCAATTACCGTGTGAGAATATGGGTCACCAAATATTCTTTCAAAAACTTCCTCTGCTTCCTTAAAACTGCCATGTTCCATACAAACAGCTATAGCCTTAAAAACAAAATGACAAAAACACACCTTAGACTATTTTTTTAAATATGCAATAATTGCTATTATGGAAATAACTCAAGTCTGAAATACTTCATTTAAAACATTTTTGTAAGACAGACACGGTAGCGCATGCCTATAATCCAGCACTCTGGAAAGCTGAGGCAGGAGAACCCCAAGTTGGAGCCCAGCCTGGGCAACTTAATGATTAATTAGACCCTGTCCCAAACTAAAAAAGAGAAAAGGTGCTGGGGATGTAGCTCAGTGTGAAGGCCCTGGGTTCAGTACCCACCATTTGCCAAAAAATTTTTTTTGAGCTTAATAATTTTTATTTGATAAATAACAGTTTTTCAAAGATGAAGTATCTGTGGCTTGACATGAAAAAGAGATACGAAAAAATTTCATTGGTCCTCAGCATATTTACTAATAAATGTTCAGCATTCTACCTCTAATTTAGAGCAAACTAAAAGCTGACATTAATGAATCAGAAGCTAACTGATGCACATTTAGGACCCATGTAAGTATGCTAAATCTCTGACTTGCAAACATTTGAGTTGAAAACTTTCACAGATGCAAACGGACTTCACATTTGGTTTCTTAATGCTTTACATTGTATATGTGTGTCAAAGGTATAAGATTCACTTTGTCAGACTTATGAATGAATCTCCAGGAATGGAACTCGTTCATAAGTTGGGGACTTACTGTATTAATTTTCAGTGAAAGACAACTCAGAGAGAACACAGATGCTGTTTGTGATGGTAAAATTTGCTAGTCAGGATCTCGAGAAAATCTCTACTAGAAACCTAGCAAGTCAGATACTTCTGAATGACCATTTTACACATTGGCCTCTCTGATATCACAATGTGTTAATATATGGAATGACTATTACCACCTGAATAGTTACATAAAGTTGGCAGGCTACTTAACCTCTTGGTGCCTCAGTTTCCTTATATCTAAAATAGTGGAAATAATAGTACAACTACTTTACAGAATTGTTAGGAGGATTAAAGAGCTACGTATGAAAGTGCTTAGAATAGTGCCTGAAAAATAGTAAGCAATGTAGGTACTAAATGTTTGTTATATACTTTATTTTTACCCACTCAACTTTACAGCAGCAGTGTAGTGATGAAAGTCAGCTTCCTCTAGGGCCCCAAAAGATTGGGTAAAATGAAAAACCTCTTTGTCCTGAGTTGAATTCTTGTAAGACGTGGTAATTTTTCTGCCCATTCTCTTTTCTTCAGGTCTCAATTCTACTTGACAGTCACTATATTAATTGTTGGGAAGGATGGAAATCACCTGGCTTTTCTGTCCTAACTCATAAATTATTTTTTTAATTCCAAAAAATTGAGGAAAAGTTTAATAGAGAAAGTCCATAGTATTTGTTTTGACTGCTAGGGAAACATAATCTTTTCTATTATATCTTTGAATGACTTTTTGTCTTCTTACTCTACTAAAATTCTCTCAACATGGTTAATATTTTACATCTTCTGTTCACAAAGACCAATGATCTATTATTAATTAGAAATATTGGGCTAAGATACAGCATGTGGTTTAGGGCAGAGTGTAAACTGGGATTGATAGAACACACTTCTGGGTATGTCTGGGTGAGTCATGAAGGTGTGGACTTGGGGACTATGTCTGGTCTCCTGCCTTTCCCTCTCTAGTCCTGTTCCTGGCTTTGCTTCCATGCCACCATGAATTAAGGAGCTTTTCTCCACCACACCTTTCCACCATATTTCTGTCTTGGAGACAGCTGACCATGGACTGAATCTCCTTAAAATGTGAGCCAAATTAAACCTCTCTTCTTTAAATTGTGGGCATGGAGTATTGTGTCTAGCATGGGAAAGCCAACTACTACAAAGTGTACACTTAAGAGACCCTGGATTCAAACCCTAGCACCAAATAACTCACAAACAAAAACATTATCTTCTTAAATTTTCATGTGTAATCCTTAAACTGAAATTGGGAGAGCACAAATCTTTGGTTTTTAAGGTTGCCTAGTAATATTTAAATAGATCCAGTAATCTGTATTTCCTGCAATATGGGGTTAATACACACCCAAGTATGGAATACAGTACTGAGTTGTAGGTCCTGGAACTTATGTCAAGACTACAAAGCAAAGGTTACATTTCTAAAGAAAAAGACTACTAATTTTTATTCTGGATTTACTGCCCAACTTCCATTAAGTTTCTTTTAATTTATTTTGTTATATGTTTTCATGCTTTAGCAAAATAATAACTATAAGCACAAAGTAATACTCATACCTGAATTTTAATTAAATTCTGTATTTCTTCATGAAGTTTGTCATGTTGTTTTTCAACTGAAGCCCAAATCATCAGGGCTGATTCCAAGGGTGTAATTCGCTCATCACTTTCAAACTGTGCATCTTTTAAAAACAAAAGAAAAATAAGTAACTTAGAAAGCTAAGTAGAACCTTATATTGTCAGTTTTTCAAAAGTGCATTCCTTTAAGTATTTACTAAACTACACACTATGCAGTGATCAAAAATATGGTGAATGTTTAAAATATAAAAATAATTATAATAAAAGACATACTGCTTTTAATCCTTTGAAGATCTCTAAAATATTCCCCCTTGCTTTGTTAAACACACTTATCACTCCTGCTACTGTCTGAAGCAGTTCTGGAAAAGCTTTTTTCCTGACTATCCTGGCTGCCTTGACATCCTGAATTGTTACCTTTGGTAGTCATTTTGACTCTGTGGAAGAGCCAGATGTTGAATGGTGTCAGACCCAGTAAAATAAGGTAGATGAGAACATAAGCCTGACTTTCCATTGGATGGCACCTGGCAGTGGGATTTACTGTATTTTTAATGACACCTCATAAAGACAGAGGACCTCCAGAACTGCTTCAGAAAAAGGCAAGAACAATAGGGTGTGTTTGAAATGAGGGGGTACACTTTGAGAGGGATTAATGGCAGTGTGTCTTTTACTGTAATACAGTAGTACATTTAAAAAAATTTAAACACAACCCCTATTTTTGAATCAATCCTTGTCAGTGTCAGGCACTATTCTGAATATGCCAGGTTAGGGAAGTGATTTTCTAATTACTCATTAAGATTAATTTTAAAACTGGAAGGCAGGGGAGGCGGGACCCTGATGATTACAAAACACAAAACTATTCTTTATTAAAATATTGAATTGCTGTTTTTGGAGGGTTTTTTTGCCATGCTGGGTTGAATTCAGGGCCTTACACATGCTAGGCAAGGACTCTTCCACTGAGCTAGATCTTCAGCCTGAAAATATTGATTTTTTTTTTTTCCTGAGATTTTGAGACAGAGTCTCTATGTAGTCCAGGATGGCCTTGAGCTTGTTCAAGGCCCACACTGGCTTTGAACTCTAAATCCTCTTGCCTAAGACTGCTGAGTGCTGGAATTACAGACATGTGTCAGTATGCATGGCTCTTAATAATGATTTTTAAGGGGTAAAATAAACTACATTTTACATAAGGTATCACAGTAATAGAATTCTCCAACTGTTTATAAACCTAACTGCATTATACTGAGCCTCAAGATACAGTCTCAGTTTCTGCATTTAAAAATTGATGAAAATAATTTTATAGGACCTTGGTGAACACTGAATGTTAACAGTTGTACTACTGTTGCACTTTCCTAAGACAGAATTTTGGTCAGGTTATCCTCAACAAAGACTCAAATAGCTTGTAACTAGTTAGTAAATTACACACTTAACAACTCAATCTAGCACTCAAGAACCTTCACTATGTATGTCTTCTATGTCCTATATTCACGATTTAGGCCATAAATACTTACTGACCACTACGTATAAGCTCTTGCCTAAAAAAAACCACAGGCATCTCAAGGAATAAGATGAAGTAGCTATTCTTATAATGCTTATATGCTAAAGAGAGATGAACAATACATTAATAAATGGCTAGAAAGAAGAACAAGGGCACTGGTAATCAAGAAGTGCAGTCATGGAAAGTTCTTTTAGGTAGTTTGAAATGGCCTTTCTGAACAATTAATAGGGGAGCTAAGACCGACACAGCACAGTCACACAAGATCTGATCAAAAAATATTCCAAAGGGGATAGTAAGAACAAAGATCCTTAGTAGGGTTGTGGTATTCAAAGAACAGAAAGTAAAGAGTAGGCAAGTTGGATATGTGTCATCCCATCACAGATGAGGTGTGTAGTCGTCTAGTTTGGAATTAATTCTGAATATAGAACATGACTTGTTAATGGATTAGATGTGGAGTGTGAGAAAAAAATAGAAGACTCAGGTTTTAACAAATGGATAAATGGTGCTGACACTGACATAAATCTGGGTGAAGAGCAAGTTTAAGATAAACATGGAGAAATCAAGAAATCTACAATATAAATAAACTGTGGTTTTCCAAATAATGTTAAGGTTTTTGTTTTGTCTAGAGTATCATTTTTATATTCTCTGACAAATTGTAGCAAACCTTCTAGGCAAAACATAAACTCCACTTCCTTGAACACTTTCCTGATTCCAGCTAGAAACTAGGAAATTTCTTAACCCCACCCCTACTTTTTTTTCCAGTACTAAGGATTAAATCCATGGCTTTTGCAGCAAGCTAATTCCCAGCTCTCTTATTTATTTCAAGATAGGGTTTATGATAAGTTGCTCAGGTGGGACCCAAACTTGTGCTCATCCTTCTTCAACCTCCTAGTGATGGGATTACAGTTATGTATACCACATCCAGCTAAAAATTTATCTCAATACTCATCTTTCCTAATACATACATTTTTCTTACCTGATATTACCTAATCCCGCTCAATAATTTGGTTTTCACTTTATAAATATAAGATATGGAAAAATATATGATAGAACTTCAAAATTTAATCATTTAGACATACACTTCCAGTAGTTCTTAGGATAGTGTAACAGACTGAATATGCCCACTACAACTAAAAAAAAAAAAAGGTTGAATAAATTGCACAATTATATTACTAAAGACATGGGAAACAATGAAAATGAGATGAACTAAAATTCCAAAGAGACAGAGAATCCTTTCTGAAGTGAGCTGATGATTTGTATCTGTTTTCTTCCCTGGGCTTATTTGCTAATTTTGGACAAGGACGAGAATCCAGTATACCCAGGCAGCAAGATTTTATGGAGAGGGGGCAGAGAAACAGAAGCTCCTCGTAATTTCTTTGGGCCTGGCTTGGTGGACTAGAAACTAGATAAAAACTGTCAACACATGATTGGCTTTTCCTCATAAGACATCTGTTGAGTACTAAGGCAGTGTAGGAGGCTGGGAAATCTCTTAGCCTCATAGATCATAAGAAAGACTCATGAGGAGAGAATGTCTGCCATAAACAAACATCTTCCCCTTTGAGACATTTGCAGTATTTTAAAGCTATGTGCGATAAGAAATAAAAACCAATATGGCAAACACTAGCCATATGTAATTACTGAGCAGTGAAAATCTGGCTAGTCCAAATTGAGATGTGCTTTAAGTAAAATACATACCAAGTGCTGTGGATTGTGTCTAGTTGTTAATCCAAAGCCTCATGCAGTCTTTTTCGAAGGTAGCTGAATCTGGAATGTGTGATGCTGGGATCAAGGGTGTGTAATTACTAAACCACTGGATGTGAGTGATTGGTTTGGCATTGCCCCAATCCTGGTTGCTGGATGGGATAAAGGGCACAAAGACGCTGTTAAAGTTTCTTGTTGCTTTTTGCTGCTTCTGCTGCCATATACGTTGCCCCTCTGCTACCCTGCCCTGGAGCCAGACGATTATGGACTGAAACCTCCACGAACTGTAAGCGAAATAAACCTTCTCCCCTTTAACTTTGGATGTGGGATATTTTGTCTCAGCAATGAGAGAAAAGTAACATACCAAGTTAATCATAAAAACTTACTACAAAAAGTAAAATTATCTCATTAACATTTTTATAGATTACTTCTTTTTAAAATACCGGATAAAATGATTAAAATTATCTCTTTTTACTTTTCTTAATGTACCTATTTAAATTACACATGTGGTTCACATTTCCTGAGCAGTACTAATATTGTGCAACCACTAAAAAGTAGAGTATAAAAGGTTACATACACCAAAAATCCAATATAATTAAACTTTAAATGCCTCTTCATGTGAGTTCATTATAATGAAACATACTGATTCATGAAAGTTGACCCCGGCCCATTATATCTACGATATATACTCAAAAGGAAATCCTAGTGAATTTCAAGATTAAACCATGGGCTTGGGGTGGGAATATAGTTAAGTGGTAGAATGCCTAACATGTGCAAGGCTCTGGGTTCAATTCCCAGCACAAGAAAAAAAACTTTGAGATCTCACAAAATCTGGACGTTGAACGTCCCCTTTTTTGGGAGGGAAAGTTATCAGGGAAGAAACTCAGATATACTGAACAAGGGCTATTTGCAAAGCACTGCTGGGCACTTTATAATATTTTGTTATACTTTATTTACAGAAGAACCCTATTAACAACATTATCTTATGGTCTGCAAGGTCTGGAATTTTCCAATTGTGTCTATACCAGCCTGTTTTCCTCTTCAGCAATAGGCTCTGATGTCTCATCTCTTTCACATCTACTCTACTCTAGCTCTTAAATGCCCTTATACCAATTCTCCAGACCTAACTTCAGGTCCTAAATAAAGCAGACTACATGAGCCAGAGTTGATTTAGTGAGTACTTTGAAAGTGGTAGTAATACTTAGGGTTTGTGTAATACATGTTTATAAGTTGGAGTTTCATGTAAATACTGTCCACTAACTAGGACTGCTGGGAAAGTATTTTTAAATTGTAAAAACCAATTATTTCCACCAAAGTGTACTTTAAATGACCATGTTGTAAATAAAACTGAACCGAAATTATCCATTATAATCTAATAAATAAGGGAGACATGAGGGAGAAATAAGGGAGAAAAATAAGGGAGAGGGATTGTAGCTATAAACCATATTTCTTTTTATAAATAAGTGTCTATGTCAAGTTTAAATAAAAAATTTCAAGTATCAGTTGGACATGGTGGCACAAGCCTATAATACCAGCGCTCTTGGATGCTGAGGCAAGAGTATCACAAGTTACAGCTAGTCTGGGCAACTAAGTGTGACCCTGTCTTAAAATAAAAAATAAAAAAGAGATGTAGTTCAGTGTGAAGGCCTTGAGTTCAATCCCTAGTACTGCAAAAAGTTTCAAATATCATAGTGGCAGTAAAAGTAGTGTAAAATTGGCATGAGCGCGAAGTTATATAATAAAATAGTGTATGAAATAGTTCTCCACTGTTGCATCAGAAACACCTAAGAACTTATTAGAAATGTAAATTCCAGAGGCACATACTTATCCTACAGATTAGGAAACTCATGGGGTGAGCGGGATTCATCACTGTTGTTTAAGTTCTTTGAGTAATTCTAAAGCAGAACAAAATTTGAGAATCACTGCTTAAGAAGAGAGAAACTATATTTCATTTTTAATAAAACCTTGGATTGAGAGTAACTTGTTCCGTATGACTAGCAAACATTTATAATAAATTTTAACTTGATAAAAGAGCAATGTCTTGCAATATGAGTAGTATGTGAAGACAAATGTCCCATGATCATAACTGAGCCAATGGTCCACCCCACCCCCACTTCACTCACTTGCTTCAGGATTGTAAGTGATCATCTCTAAATAGAAAGAGGTTATGGACATCTAGACTGCAGAGGAGAAGCAGAAAAAGGCAGTGGCATCCCTTACTTCCAATCAGATTAGGGAGACATGTAAATGGTGCAAAACAGTGCAAAAGTTTGTAGAAAAGGACCATTCGAATAAAGCTGTAAGAGTGTGAGCAATGAATTTGTTTAACAGTGCAATGTTCTCAAAAAAGAGGCAAAAGCAAGTGTCATTGGATAGGTTCCTTGTTAAAGCTGCATGAAAAGAAAAAGATTCCCTTGAGCCAATAGATAGCAGTGATTCCATTAGTGACAGTGAAAGTCATTTTACACAATAACCCTCCTTTCTCATCTCACACCAGCCACAAAGATTTTCAAAGGTCAAGGCAGATTAATTTATTTTTCTTTATATTTTGTATTTTCTTTATTATTTTGTATTATATTACAGTATTTTAATCATTTTTATAAGAATAATTTTGGGTTGTAGAATGAATCGACTGAGTTTCTATTATTTCTTTCTTTCTTTTTTTTTTTGGTACTGGGGATCAAATTCAGGACCTTGTGCTTGCGAGGCAGGCGGCGGAACCACTGAGCTAAACCCCCGGCCCTCCATTATTTCTTACAGGGAAATTCACTTTGATATACAAGTGCTTTGGATTACAAGCACATTTCACAAATGAATTATGCTCACCAAGGTTTTAATTTACATGTTTTAAATATGTGTGTGTGTGTGTGTGTGTGTGTATTGGCCAGATACATATAAGCAAACTCTGAAAAAAAAGTTTACAGTATCTTCTCATTGTCTTATATTTGAACATAAATTATTTCCACTGAAATATTAAAATACATATTTACCAAGAGATTTTCCTGCTGCAATTCTTGTCAAAAACTGGCATATGTATACAGTTCTCAACTGATCAGCTGTAAGACTAGGGAGTCCATGAATAATAGCTGGAAAAGAAAAAATAAATTTTATTAAGGCAAAATCAAACAATCCAGTAGTGACTGCATGTGGTTAAATAACAGGTTACAAACATCTCACTAAAATTACCATAAATTAAAAGATGTATGTTCTAGCTATTTAGTTAATTTTAAAAAATCAGAGCAAAAGTGGGGCCTACCAATACACAACTGAAAGCTCAGTGCTCTGGGAGGGTAAAGCAAGAGGATCACAAGCTTGAGCCTAACCTGAGCAACTTCACAAGACTCCTTCTCAAAAAGAAAGTAAAGAAATGGCTGGCGATGTAGCTCAGTGCAAAGGTCCTGGGTTTGATCCCCAGTGTCACAAACAAAAACAAACCATAACAAAAATAGCTTTCCAAAATACAATTAAGTCCCTGACTTATGAACATTCAAGTTGTGAACTTTTCATAGATAGGAATGGACCTTGCATTTGAATTTTTTATGCTTTAAATTGTACATTTCTGTCAAAGGTGTATAAGATTCACTTTGTTGGGTTTACAAATGAATCTAACTTATAAAAGTTCTCCCGAGCCAGGGTGGTGGTGGACTCCTATAATCCCAGCACTTGGGAGGCAGGGGCAGGAGCATCGCTGCCAGTTAAGAGGCTCCAGCCTGGGCTGTGTAGTACATTTAAGGTCAGCCAGAAGTATCCAGTGAGACCCTGTCTCAAAAAAAAAAAATCTCCTCGAACAGAACGGGGACTCTATAACTGACTCACGTGTAGAATAACAAATGTTTAAAATTATTTTCAAAGTATTATTGTATGCTAACAACAAATATTTAGATCTATATTAAAACGTCAAATCACTAGTTGAAGTTATTTCATACCATGAAATTCTTCACACTATAGGAAATATTTTATATTACTTCTGTCAAAATTTCAGCTCTGTGAATCTGTTCAGTTCACAGTTATATTTAAAAATATATTTATTAATATTTATCTCACAAATATTTGCCCACCTAGATGTTGTACCAGGCAATGAATACATATAAAGGTGAGTAAACTGTCTTTCTGGATCTCAGTGAGCTAGCTTATCTAAAGACAAATAACTGAACTACTAAAATAAAAATGTGAAACTGAAAAAGACAAATACAGAATGCTAGGGCAGCATACCCCAAAGAAATCTTACAATGTATTTAAGTATCTTTAGGGGTAAAGAACTGTCAGGAAAGGCTTCTCTGAGGAAATACTGTAACATCCAAAATAAAGTACTTGTGTTGTACTTCGCCCAAGGTTTGGTTGGTATATAACTGTATATACATATGTGTATGTGTATACATATATGTGTATGTGTGTGTATATTATACCATAAATAACTAGCAACTATTAAGCAGATAAAACAATACTCTTACTCTTTTCCTCAATTCTACAATGGCATACACAGATTATATGGGCCAAATATAGTTATAATAGAATTACATAATATTTAAAGAGAACAGATTAAATAAAATTTAAATAAGTGATTAAATATTTGCTGAACATCTACTGCTAGTCTTAGTAGCTGATAACTGAGGGAGAAGACAGCCAGTCCCTGACCCTTATGAAGTGTTTTTAGTCTGAGAAGATACAAGTAAATTATGTCAAGTGACGAAAATTTTAATGAGTGCCACAAAGGATAGGTACAGTCAGCCCTCTGTACCCATAGGGTTCTGTACCTGCAATTTCAACCAAGTGAAGATCAAAAATGTTTTAAAAAATAATTACACCTGTACTTAATATGTACAATTTTTTCCTTGTTACTATACTTTAAATGACACAGTGTAATAATTAGTTACATAACACAAACATTGTATTAAATGTTATCAATGATCTAGAGATGATTTAAAGTCTATGGGGGGAATGCTGAGGTTTTATGCAAACACTAGGCCATTTTATACAGGGCCTTGAGCCTCTGGTTTCTGTTACCTGTAGGGGTGGGGATGGGGTCCTGAAACCAAATCCCACAGATACTAATGGAGGATAGGAGAGTGTACTTTGGAAGAAAGTCACCATGTGCAGTCTACATTGAAAAGCTGGAGTTATTCAACCTCCTTGAGGATGGAACAGCTACATTAAATTCCCTGGAGCTTCTTCTGCGTGGGAGATTTGCTTCTTCCATTTATTTATGTAATCATCTATTTACATCAGTATGGACTCATTGATTTTTTTTTTTTTTTTTAGCACTTACTTTCAGGAACTAAATAGTTTCTGGTCATCTTGTGTATTTCCTATCTCAGTCCCATAATTAGCCATTTCCCAAAGAGCCTTGTTTCCCCTGTTAGGAGAATGGTATTAGAAACCAAGATCTGGGTGCTAGGTATACTTGTCCTCCTAGGGATGCTCCCCTGCCCTTTCCTCTGACAGAGCAAGGAAATATACATGTGTGTACACCGGCCCAAGTCTATACACATTATAAATTATATTTATCCTTCAGCTACAGTTTGGATCTAGGATGTTCCCCCAAAGGCCCACATGTTAAAGCCTGGGATCCCAGCTTAGCACTAAGGGAAGTGAAGTAGGATTAAAAGATAAATAAATATAGGAAGGAGACAAGGAAAATTGGAATTTTAAAAGTGTACTTAAAAAAAAAATCTTGCAGCTTCAGGACATAAAAGTTAATCAAATGCAATTTAAATTTTTTTTTCCTCACCCAAGGTGCAATAAGCCTGGGCAATTCCCTTTCATCTGCAAACTGGTCTTTTTCACATGTGAATAGATCACCTTTTTACCTGTAGATCCTACTTCCTCCCTCCTCAAGGAAGGAGCAGTATTAGTGGGCAGCACATCTCACTTTCACACACATGTAAAAAGCCTGCAATCTAACAAAGTCCACCAGATGGGAAACCTGACAGCAGAAATACACATCCTAGATCACCCAGCGCCCATAAACACAGTATACCCATATCTAGATCATAAGGCACCTCTCTAGAGCCCACACTCTATTTCTGTGACTGTGTACTTTTCATTTAGATATCTGCCTAATAAATCCCTTCGTGTCTCTTACTGACATTAATTCTTTTTCTGTAAGGAAGGTCGTAGAACCCTCATTAATATAATGAGGTTACTTTAGGACCATCCTAGAACCCAGTCTGGCGACAAGGAAGTTGTGGAGCTTTAAAATATGGGGCCTAGTGGGAGGTTTTGGGGTCACTGGGGGCATGCCTGGGAAGGGCACCATGGGACACCAGTCTCTCCCACCTCCAGCCCTACATGGCTCCCAGTCTTGGGGTGAGTGGTCTGCTTTCCTACTAGCTCCTAACATACTGTGCTGCCTTGCCACAAGCCCCCAAACAAGGGGGCAATCAAGGAGGAACTGGAACTTCCAAAACTGCCACCGAATAAACCTGTGCTTTATCAATTACCTTTTGTTACTGAGATACAAAGCTGATTAACAAACTGTCTGCATTAACTGATATCTGCATTATACGGATATTTCCAACTCTAACCCATTTCCACAGATCATTCTGGCCTTCTTCCAAAAAGAACTTTTTAATAATTCTAACTATTGTGAACTGACTTCACTGCAGGGATGAATTTCCTAATTAACGTTGATTTTCCATGGCTCCAGTATTAGCTAGATATACAAAGAAAAGGTATTTGAAGTGTAATAAGGCATGAGTCTGAAACACTTTAGGTTAACTATTTCACTGCTCTGTAAACTAAAATTACTTGCTTAACTCACAAGATTATCATGAACATGCAATGCATCAATACAGCTCACTGAGAATTTTCTGTTACTGTTAGATTTATACTATAAATACATATTTATACAGTAAGTTTAATGCCAACTCTGAGGAAAGTACCAGAGCATTTTTCTGTTATCTTTCAAAAAGCTATGCTAAATCTCAGCACTCTGAAAGCCCGTAGGAGGATCACAAATTCAAGTGCGCCCTGGGCAATTTAGCAAGACCTGGTCTCAAAAACCAAAACCAAATCCAAGTGTGGTGGACACACCTGTAATCCCAGCATTTGGGTAGCTGAGGCAGGAGGATCACTGCGAGATCAAGGCCAGCCAGAACCACATACACAGTGAGACCCTGTCTCAACAACAAAAATAATTTTTTAAAAACGGCGGGTGGGGGAGTGAGGATGTAATTCAACGCAGAGCCCTAGGGTTCAATTCTTAGTACCGCAGAAACAAATGACAACAAAGAATGCTGTTAATCTTCCCACTGGGTCTTTGTTCATTATTTACAGACTGTCTAAGCAGATTTCAGCTTTTTATTCTGAGGACTACACTCAGCAAACAGGCCAAAGAAGGTTTAAATACCTCACAAGTCAACATAAAACAGAGTGATGACTGCGGTTACAGTGACTGCAGAGTAAAAAAAAATCACAATACCGTTGTGTAGCATTCTGGGAGGCTGAGGCAGGAGGATCACAAGTTTCAGCTTAGCCTCGGCAACTTAGCGATTTAAGCTGGACCCTGTCTCAAAAAGGCCCTGAGTTCAATCCCAGTATCTCAAAACAAACAACAAAGTTTAAAAGCCACCGAATAAAAGCTCCGAAGGAGACAAAAGGAACTGCACAGTGGGTTGGGTGCAGTTTTATACACTGTCTCGTTTAATCTTTACGTTCACCCTAACCGGAGGTCTTATTTTCATTTCACCGAAGAGGAAAAGAATCTGAAGGAAAAGAGGCGCTGATAAGGGGCGGAACCGCGACGGCAGGCGAAGCTCGCGCGGGCGAGCGTGGATCCTGCAAGCATCTGCCGCACTCACCCTCGGTGCTGTCGCGGATGCGGTGGAAGTCCTCGGAGCGGCCGTCACGGAATGCCCGGCAGAGGGAGAGGCAGAGGAAATCCAGCATCCACCCGGTAGCCACCGCCTCGGCCTTCGCCACCAGGTCCGCGTCCTCCTCCTTCTCTTCCTCAGGGCTCCCGAACTCCACCTGGCAGTCCAACAGTTCCTGGCACTCTGTGTGCTCCTGTTCGTTTGTGGCCTTTTCCATCAGTGCAGGCTCCGGGGCGTCCTCGTCTTCCGGGTCCTCACGCCCCCGCGAGCTCGGAGCGCCCACGGAGGTATCCTCCGCCATGTTGAAACTCTCACGCCTCCTTGGGTCCGCTCGAGCGCTGCGCCGTGATTGGCTTCCGGTGGAGGGCGCGGGGCGTGACCGCGCGGAGTCGCTTCCGCTAGTGGAAAACCACCCAATCACATAGCCAGGATAGGAGAAAGGGTAGAGCCTGGCTTCTGATTGGCCGAAAACTGCTGGCTTCTCTGACCTCGAATTTCCCGCCAGTCTCTGGCTGGGATTCGTGGGTGGAGCCCGGGGCCTAGAGGCTCAGGAGACTACTGCGCCCTTTTGGGAGTGGGAGTGGGGGTGGGGCTGCTTCGTCCTTTTCAAATACAACCTGGATGACTACAATCGAAGTGGATTAAAGATCTAAATATTAAAACAGAAACACTAAACTTGCTGAAAGATAAGTTAGGTAGAACTGTTGAAGGCATTGGCATAGGAAAAACCTTTATGAACAAATCCTCAGTGGCATGGGAACTAGCGCAAAGAATCAACAACTGGGATCTCATCTTATTAAACAGCTTCTGCACTGCAAGAGAAACCACCAACAGAGCTAAGAGACGACCTGCAACGTGGGAAAAAAATTTTGCCAGCTTTTCCTCAGACAAAGGACTACCGTCTAGAATATATAAAGAACTAAAAAAAAATCAGACCCCCCAAATATAAAGACCCAATTCAAAAATGGGCATCTGAAATGAGTAGACATTTCTCAAGACAAACAATAAAAGCAGCAAATAAACATATGAAAAGATGTTCAACATCACTGGTCATTTGAGAGATGCAGATGAAAACAACGCAGAGTTTCCACCTCACCCCAGAAAGAATGGCTGCTATCAAGAAATCAACCAATAACAAATGCTGGTGGGGCTGTGGGGAGAAAGGAACACGTCTCCATTGTTGGTGGGAGTGAAAACTGGAGCAAGCACTGTGGAAATCAATATGGAGATACCTCAAACAACTAGGACTGGAAGTCCCATTTGACCCAGCTATCCCTCTGCTGGGCCTTAAAAGAATCAAACCTCAGTCATATATGCTCACCCATGTTCATAGCAGCACAGTCTGTAATAGCTAAAACTTGGAAACAGCCCAATTGCCCCTAACTGGAGACTGGATAAAGAAGATGTGTTTTATATATATATAATGGAGTAGTACTCAGCCATAAAGAATGAGAAACTAGAGACATTTATAGCTAAGTGGATGCCCATTGAGGCGATACTCTTAAGTGAAATAAATAGGACACGTGTAAATACCAAATAGTTTGTCTGGTGTGAAAAATTAAAAGTGTAAATAAGGATCAAAATGTATAATTGATATTATGAAATAGGAAGAAAATGTCTAAAGGAAAAAGAAATGAGAAAGGTAGGGAAAAGGAAAGAAGGGAAAAGAAAAAATACGAGAAAAGAAAAATAATGGAAAAAAAGTCTTTGTAAATAGGGAAGGGTGGAGGAGGTGAAGGGAGAGCAGGGGAATGGGGAAAAAATAAGAATCAAGATACATCATGTAAAGGTACAAGATTGCAATGATGAATGTAACTGTATTGCATACCTAAAATGTACCGATAAACTTAATAAAAAAAATACAACCTTGATGGCAACAAGCTTAGTTAAAATGGAAACACATTTTTCCAGCAACTGCTTCCATAGGAGATAGGTCATTAGACCTGGCTACCATCATTCAAACTTAATGCTTTAGGTGCTAAACTAATTCAACTAATGCATTTTACTATAGTATTATAGGCAGCTAAGTTACTATAGTTACAGAGGGATTGAAAATCAGCACAAAAAAATAAAGGCATCAAAATTGTGGTTGGAGGGACATCTGAAGAAGGCAAGGCCTCAAGATAAAGATGCAAGGGCAAGCCTAGGAGACCTAAGGAATAAACAGCAACTTGAGATTATACCGTAATTATCCGTACCTGATCCAGGAAGTCCAGATAGGCCCCAGAAGCCCAGGTGGGTGACTAGAGCATCTGGACTCATCCCTTCCCCAAAATGCCATTGTTCCTTCCATGTACCTTTGCTTCTTGACCTGTTTTCATATAGGTTGATTGTAGTTTGACCCACACTGGCTTTGTGACTTTGGTATATAAATTACCCAACAAAGAGCCTCAGTGGCCACCCTACTTGGGACCCTCCAGGAAATCCAGGAGCTATTCTTCCCTTTATTTCCAATAAAACTCTCCAAACTTCTTCCATTGATTTGAGACTTCACTCTTAAAAGTTGAGAGGCCACAAACTCAACACATTTGGCATCGGACAGGTCGAATATTTCTCCTACATAAATAGGATCACAAACCAAAACTCTTCCAAAGAACTGACATCCTTGCCTTCCAACTCTAACATGCATCATAATCCGTCCTGGGCCATATTGAAACAAATAGCTGAGCTCCAGTCCAGAAGTTTTAGTTCCATAGTTCTGGCTAGGGATCCTTGAATATGCAAGTCTAATTAATAAATTCTCTGGTAATCCTGAGGCTGCTTGTCTGAAGATCACATTTTGAGAACTACCACTTTAGGAATAGTAGATTCCTATGGAAATGTATTTTAATTGGGCTCTGAGACTATAGAATACATAAGTGAATGCTTATTATTATCATTTTTTAGCAAACCTAGGGCCTATGTGTATGATAGGCAAGTGCTCTACCAATGAACTAAGCCTCCAGTCCCTGATGCTTTTTTTTTTTTTTGGTACCAGGGATTGCTAAATTCCCGGACCTGCTGATGCTTATTTTTAAGTTTGAGTCTTACTGGACAAAAGGAGATTCTGGGTGGGTGGGTGTGGCCTGGGAGGGGTGGACTGGTTATTTTCTGTTTCTTGATGTGGTTGATAGTTATGATCAGTTTGTTCACTTTATGAATATTAATTGAACATCATTTATGCACTTTTTAGTATGTATCATAATTGACTACAAAGTTTACTTTAAAAGTCCTTTTGTTTATAACATATAACATTTATAAAAAACTTTTTTGTGTTTTAATTTTACATATAATTTACTATCTTAGGGCAGCAGTATTTGTTGTCTTTTTTCTTTTAGGTGACATTAGGGGTTGAAACCAGGGCCTAATATTGCTAAGCAGGGGCTCTACTACTGAACTGAATCTTCAGCCCTTTTATTTTCAGATAGGATCTCAATAAGTTGCTTAGGTTGGCCTTGAACTTTGGATCCTCCTGCCACAGCCTTCCAAATGTGGAAGCTAAACAGGCAGAAAATGAATTAATTTACAGTTATAGTACAGTTGTAGTAAACCTAGCCTCTTACTCCATCAGGCTTCTCTGAACTGGCACGTACTAAGTGGCTATAACATTCTGTACAGGCTAAACTATATGTGAAAGTTAATAAGCACACCTGCGATGTAGAACACACATATTTCTTCTCAATAGCATGTGACGTTTTCCTTAGAGTTGATGCATACAGGATCTTGATTCTTACAGCCCTTCTGTGAGGATCATAGTAGTGGACCATGTCACATTGGCTGCTTCAATGTATTCTGACATAACACATCTACTGCTGTGAGATAAGCAGAATGCAAGCTGACCTAAAGAAAGACTTCCTGAGACACTTGCTTTCATCATCCTGTACAGCTCTCACACCCTTAAACTCTTATAAAAACCTAGCCTTTCTCCCTGATAGCTTCATCCTCTCTCAGAACTCAGCCACTATTCTCTTGCAGTTATCAATAAACTGTTAACTTTTCTATATTCCTTGACTGTTGGTAAATTATTTTATCACTCATGGTTCTGGCATTTCACATGCTGTGTCTAGTGTAGCATCAAAGAGCTAGGATTACAAGCCACCTGGACACCACAACCAGCAAGTGCTGAGTTGTTAAAGTAGCATATTGTATTACTTTACATTATAGGGATGACTAAACTGAAATGTCCCGTAAGAGTTATCCACTAGCTTTGTGACCTTGGGTACACTGTGCTTCGGTTTTCTCTTCTGTATGTTGGGGATAATAATAACACTTGCACCCTAACATGTTGGGCAGATTAAGAGTTTGGTTAGTAGAAAGAGTTTAAACAAAGGTAGGTACATAGTACATGTTCAGTTAGTATAGCAAGATGAGGAGGACATGTGGTACCAGGAAAGAGGATGAGGCACTGGAATGGATTTCTTCCTCAGGCTGTGATAGTTCTAGCAGGCATAAATTATGTTTTACAAACAATAAATGAATAGTAATAGAGAAGAAGAGAATAAAGCACATTACGCACCCAGTGTTATGGATGGCATGTTTGTGTTTTTCTCTACCACAAATTCATATGCTGAGACCTTAACTCAAAGAGATAATATTAAGAGATGAGACTTTTACTTTCTTAAAAACCTGCCTGCTGAGCTCAACACTACATGTATTCTTCTGAAATACTATGTCAACACAGTTATGGAAGATAATTCAAGTTAGAATAGGTCATGAAGATGAAGCCCTCACAATGAAATTAATGCCTTTATAAGAATAGGAGGACTGCAAGTTCAAACAAGACTGTCTCAAAATAAAAAAACAAAATAAGGGACTCAGAATGTAGCTCAGTATGAAGGCCCTAGGTTCAATTCCTCATACTGATTTAAAGAAGAAGAAAAAATGGGAGGAGGAGACAGGGTCTCTCTAAGTTACTACATTGCCCAGGCTGGGCTAGAACTTGAAATCCTCCTGCCTCAGCCTCCCAGAGTGCAGGAATTACAGGCATGTACTATTGATACAGGGATGATGTAGGAGATGAAATAGGATCTCTAAATGATATAAGGGAAATATAATTCTCAACCTGTTAAATGTCTGACACGCTGAATTCGTGTTTTCTAAAACTGAAGAATGAATTTGAGGGACAACAGATGTTAAGAGTAGGAAATGTTTATTGAGACGATAGCTTCTGAGAGGCAGGAGAGGTCCCAAATGGGTAGCTGAGGACCCCACTTTTTAGAGAAAGTTTTATAAAACACATACATGTTGGTACAAAATAGGTTAAAGTTATAATCAGACAATAAGATTATAAGTGTAGTTGCTTAGGTACTAGTGATCCAGTGGGGGAACAAGCCACATAACAAGTGTATCTGGAAAGAGCAAAAGCATTTC